AGTACTCATGTTGTTAGTTTAGTTGATGCTTTTATCACTAACCACATCGTTGTTTTAGATGATTTTCCTCAAAGTCTATGTGTCATTCCCGGGCTCCCTACTCACCGGTCAAAGGACCTTACCTTACCCGATCTAGGAGCTATCACCCTCCAAGCTCCTACCTCGTCTCCTTGGGTAAGTGTCTCTCACCTAGTTGAGGATGCCACCTTTCTGACTACCAGTTCTAGGATAGTCAAGGGAGAGGGGATAGACCTAGACCAAGAGATGGTCGATGAGCCAGCTTCAGAACCTCAATCAGATGACAACCCAAAACTCTAAGCAATTATTTCCAAGTTAGGATTTGATGAGCTCTTTGACATGGTTGATTATAAAGGGTACTTACCTCTTGATCCTGAGTCAATTGGAGAGAGACCGATCGATGAGGTAGTATAAGAGATAATAGATATCCTACATAATAAAGAAAGAATATTAATCTTCGAGTAATTTAGATGCTCTGTTAGGAGAAGATGATGAAATCACTGGGAACATTTGCATGGTTAAGACTAGAGGGTCTAATAAAGAAACTGAGCCAAGCAAATGCCGCTCTAGCAAGGAAGAGGATTCAACTATAATTGACTAAGATTCAGATGAGTCAGTAAGGGCTAGAGAGGAAGAACACATAAAAAACTTGGAGACTTAGCTCGCGAACATGATGTCATAAGTTAGAGAAATGCAAGAGTGATTAGATAAATCACAAGAAGCCTCCCTTAAACTATAATTGTTGGCTTGAGAGATCTCAGAAAGGACTAAGAAGATAGAATCTAATTTTAAAGCCCACGAGTTAGTGCCAATAGTTCTCCCCTGTCCATTAGAGGCACCTCTTATTCAGCGTATAGTTTCCACCATTCCTCTAGTACCACCTCAGAAGGACATTAAATAAATGATTGAGGACTAGGTAAGGGAGGCCTTAGCTTTTTCACAAGGAATCACATCTATTCCAAAGGGTATACCCTACCCCGAAGAATATGATTCAGTTCTTTATCCTAAAGGCTTTGTGTCACCATCTTTTAAGATTTTCATTGGAATTAAAAACCCAAGACAGCACCTGGCCCACTTTCGAGCAAGTTGTTGCAACATGAGAGGGTTAGATGCTCTACTTTTTTGCCAGTTTATTAGTAGTATTTCAGGCACTACTTTTGAATGGTATGTTGATCTGCCCAATGATTCAATGAGAACCTTTAATGAACTAGAAAATTTTCTTTTTAAAGAGATTTTCTAGAGAACAGCAGTGCACTACGATGGGCGATCTCGTCATTGAAAAGCAAAAGCCAGGAGAGCCTTTGGTTGAGTACATCTTGAGGTGGTAAAACCTCTCGATGAAGTGTGAACCCCAGTTTTAAGAGAAACATGCTATGGAAATCCTTCTAAAGAATATCTATGGCCCGATTGCTTTTCTCCTGAAGGGTTTCATGATTAAGACTTTTGAGAAACTTCTAAATAAGGCTAGCAATCTATGGGAAGATTCTCTTAGGATGTCATTCTTAAGGGATCAGTCCAAGTAAAAGAAGGGTCCTAAGTTAGTGAAATCTTTTGAGAAGAAGACCATTGTCTCAACAGTTTATAAGTGAAAGAAACCAGTTATTAGCCAGCCTAGTCTTCCACCACCACCAAAGATTTATAACACAACCATTTCAAATCACTTCTCAGTCTCCTAGAGAATCCTATTTGACCTTTTTAAGGAGTGGTTGGTTAAACCATACCTATTTAAGAGAGAGTAGATAAGAAAGATCTTTAGGAGTCTTCAAAAGAAGCCGAACTTTTAGCTATCTAAAGCTAGAAGGCTAGAGGATGAGAATAGGAAAGATGATCCCAAGTATTATCCTTTTCACTGTATGCTTGGCCACCCACTTGAGGATTGTGTTGTGTTTAAAAACTGGCTAAAAAGGAATCTCAAGCAAGGTAATATCGTTATTTCTAAAGAGTACTTGGTAGTTCCGGAACATGCGTCGATCAAGAACATCTCAAGTAGCCTTCTTAACACTTCTCTTTCCATTGAAGATGGTTGGGACATTGCTTTATCCTGGGCATTTAAAAAGTTCATTAATAAGTCTTTTCATATTTCTCAATAGCTGACTATGACAACCCAGGGTCCGATTTGGGAGGTTGACATGGATGCTTCGCAAAAGGATGTTGAGCCGCTTCCCTCTCTAGTAGTCATAAGAACTACTATAATACATAAAAAAGAAAATAGAGATGATTTTATAAAGATAAAGTGTGTGGATGAGAGATGTATCCAAGTGGCGGTTGGTGGTGTAAAACCCCCCACTTCTGTTAACATTCTTCTGACACTATCTTGATGATTAACCATGACTCTGATATGCAAATTAATGATCTTTCTATTTTAAATCAAAGTTTTGGTGAGGTTAATATGAATGTTGAACAACTTTACCCTCCTAAGTTGACCTTCCAAGGAGATGTCAAATTCAATACCTTATAAAAAAGTGAATTCCCCTAAATTGATTTTCAAGGAAGTCCTATCGTGATATAATTTTTGGATTCTGACTCCCTCTCAGGAAATGACAATCTCATGCCTACGATGTGCATAGACACCACCTTAGTTTGCCCTCCCAAGGATATTGAGCAGGTGCAACTCTGTGGCGGCAATGTCTTACCCCTTAGGCTCCCCCCTTAGGAGAAAGGAAAACAAGCTGTCTTTGAAGATCTAAACCCAAAATCTCCCCAGCAATCCAACTTCCCTTTAATCCCTTCGGGTTTTGAATCTGTCATTCCTAAGGTTGATTATAATGTCTTAGCCCATTTTAGGAAAGTTGCCAGCCAAATTGAGCATCTACGACGCCCTTCTTCTTTCTAAGGAAATGAGGGAATCTTTAATCAAGGCACTTCTCGATCCCAAGATTTTCTTAGCACAATATGCTTCAACTTCAAGAGATGAGGCATTTTACTTCAAAGAAGTCCCTAGGGTAACTTTTTCGGATGAAGATATGCTTTTGGGAACTTCCAACTATAACCGCCTTTCTCTATATTACTATAGATGCGGGCAACTTCAAATTATCAAGAGTCATTGTTGATCAGGGTGCATATATCAATGTAATGAATATAAAGACCCTTGTATACCTTAGAGTTGATATTAGCAAGCTTTCAACTAACAAGTTGGTGCTTTGTGGGTTCAATGAAAAGGGCAAGAGGGGTTTAGGTTTGATTACCCTTCTTTTAGAGATAGGAGAATTAAAAACTGAAGCTAAGTTTCATAGAATTGATTCGGCGACATCCTTTAATGAGCTCTTAGGTAGGCCTTGGATTCATGAATATAGAATGGTTCCATCTATCCTACACAAATGTGTCAAGTATAAATGAGACGACATTTAACATGTGATTAGGGGTGATTTGCAACCATTCTCAATTCAATAAATTGGGATCTACAAGGATGCTACATATTTCATACCAAAAGGGTCCTCATCCTGCACTAAAGTTGATATTAGAATTGAGGAGAAAGTTAGTGGACAAAAGTCTGATCAAGAAAAAGAAAAAGAAGAAGAAAAAGAAAAGGAGGAAGATAAAAGCCAAGGAATGGTAGAATCAAGTAGTGAAGATGACCTCGATACCATTTTCCTTAGGTAAAGAGGTGGGAGGATGGCTTTAAGGACACGTGGTCGAGGTCATGTTTCACTAGAAAGGAGAACAACCCCCATATATATTGATCCAGAATCAAATTCTGATGATGAACCAGAAAGACGGGGTGCTGCAATTCCTTTCGGCTACCAAAATACAAATACTCCTCTGAAATTTAATCTTACTTTAGATCAAGACAGTGATCATGAGGTAGAAGTTTCAAAAGCTAAAAGCAACAAGCCTAAATTGACTATGTACGAAAAGCTTAGTAAAAGGATTCAGTCCTTTTCCCTGACATGTCGTCTAACAGGATTGCATGGTTAGAGGTTAAAGCGGCCCCCAACCTGAATGGTGAAGTGAAGAAAGTCCAAAAAAAAATTTTTGGCTCCTCCTCCTTAAGGGATGAAGGTGATGTAACCCTCGAGGAGGCAGATTTTAATGAGTTAATGGAATTGCCTTTTGGCTACTTTCCTGTTTGTGTGAAGAATTCTTTCTCTAAAGATCTTGGACTGTATCAATGGACTAAGGGTCAGGCCAGATTCTACGAAAGTATTTGGAAAACTAAAATAAATAAAAATCTAATAAGTGAATTTTTCTTTGGTATCATTAGTTCATTTGATAATGATGAATACTATTTAATGATAACTTATCATCTTAAATCTCAAAATCTCCATACGGATGCCATCGGTCCCCTCGACGGGCTTTATTTGGAGACTTTAGATGATCCCAATGAACTTCAAGTTTGGGATGCATCCCCTGAATTCGAGGAGGAAATTAAGTCGACATTCGATGAGTTAAAGAGAAATCAACCTGCGAACCGACAATGACCCTCGCCCCACTTTTATTAGTACCTTACTGAGTGAGGGTGGGTCCTATGATCTAATTCAACTTTTATTCGAGTTTAGGGACTGTTTTTCTTGGGCATACGATGAAAGGCTAGGTCTGTCCACTAATATAGTGATCCATAAACTTAGAATTCAACATGATGCCATTCATGTTAAATAAGCTCCTCGATGCATGTGCTTTGAGATTGAGGACAAGTTATTTCCAAAATCAAGAAGTTGGTCGAAGTCAAATTTATTCAAGAGGAACAATACCCCTCTTAGGTGGCTAGCATTATGCCAGTTTGAAAGAAAAATGGTCAAATTCAGATTTGTGTCAATTATAGGGATCTAAATAAGGCATATCCCAAGGTTGAATTTCCTTTGCCTATACCTGAACTTATGGTGGATATTACCTTTTACCATGTCATTTTCTCCTTTATGAATGGCTCATCCGGTTTTTTTCTTAATGGTTGCAAGCTTTAAGAGAGAGAACGTCCGATTTGAATTCTAAAAAAAGAAAGTTCTTCCTGGTTTTGAAATCGGATTTCACGGGTTTTTCTGTGATCGATGGTGGCTGCGCCGGTGGATCATCGGCATCTTCAGCCGGTTTCCATGATTGTTCCACGGTCATCTGGTTCTCTTCGGTCCAGCGATAGAAAATCTAATGCAATAGTGATTTGGGAAGGAGGTAAGCCGTTGAGCCGTCAAGAAACTGTTGAAGGTAAAGGAAAGAATGTGATAATGGATGAATCGGAAGCACGAGTGGATACGATTGTTGAAGATCTACCTGATTTGATGAATGTTGAGTCTTCGGCTTCTCAAAATTTGGTCTTACGAGTGAGAAATTTTTCCGAGGTTCTTGATGCACAGAAAGTGCGGAATATGGGTGATGGAGCTATTTCTTTGGAAACCCGAAAGGAAGATATTGTGAAGAACATGGGCGAAGTTGCTGAGGCTTGGTCGAAACCAAAGCCAATCAAGATTACATTTGATAGAGACTTGATGCAATTCTCTGAGGACGGTGTGGCTGTAAAATTGAACGCGGAAAGGGAAGCTGATAATGTTAGAGTATTGAAAAACTCGATTGTACTCAAAGTTCTGGGGAATGGAGTTCCTTTCTCAGTTTGCAGTTCGGAGCTAAGAAGACAATGGAGCCAATATGGTAAATTTCATTTGACCTCAATTGGATTGGATTGGATACTCTGTTCGTTCAATTCGTGTGCGGTGGTTGATGAAGTTTTGAATGGGGGCCCATGGTATGTGAATGGATTAATCGTTGGGATGGATAGGTGGACTCCTGCTTTTGATCCAAACTCGTTCAAAGGTATATCGGCACCGGTGTGGATCCGTTTACCTTGCCTACCTTATATTGCTGGGATGAAGACAGCATAGCTAGAATAGCTTCTTGCTTTGGATCTCCTATGTATGTAGATGGAAATACTTTCCGATGGAGTAAACGAGAATTTGCTCGTGTTTGTGTGATAATTGATTTAGAGAAGAAACTTTTGAATGGTACGTGGGTTGAAGGTTCGGCTGGGAGATTTTTCCAAAGGGTGGAATATGAGAAAATTGATCTTATGTGCTACCAATGTGGAAGGGTAGGCCATGATAAGAAGACTTGTCCAGAAAATGTCACAATGGTGATTAAAGATCAATCGTTGAAGAGCATGGGATCAGATAATGGGCAGGACAATTTGGTGAGACATGACAATGGGCATTATGTGGTGAGTACTGAATATGGTCCATGGATTCATGTCCAATTCAAGAATAGAAGAGGTAGAAGAAGCAATGCAGTAAATAAATATGAGCAGGATATTGGAAGGAAGACATAACAGAGAACTTCTGTTGGTCAGACGGATGTTCAGGTTGAAGAAGTCCAGGAGAAAGTTCAGGATGAGTGTAACGATAATAAGGCAGATGAAGTCTCTGGAAAAGATGTTGTAACTGGTATGTTCGATCAATCAACAAACCGGTTTGCTGTTTTGGTTGAGGAGAATGAGGAAGAATTGCTGGGACAGGCTGTTAGTAATGACAAGGTGGTTGACAATGGCTCGAAATTATTGGAACCAATGGTAAATTTTGATATGAAGTATGGTAATGAAGATGTCAAGGTTAAATTAGCCAAAGAAGTGAAGTCATTGGGACCTGTTAATAGTGAGAAGAAGAAGAGGAATGGAAGGTTGAACCCCAATAGTGGGGGAAGATCTTCTATACCTTGTTAATCATGTCTACAATTCTTTTCTGGAATTGTAGGGGAGCGAGGAAGAAAGAGGCTTCCCTATATCTTAAGGAGATGGTTAGAGATGAAAATGTTTTCTTTATTGGGCTTATGGAGACAAAGCTGTCTAGCATTGGTAGAATGGAGGTGGATTGCCTTTTGGGCAATGAGTGGGATTATTTTCACCAACCTGTTGTTGGGACTTCTGGAGGTATTCTGGTTTTATGGAACATTAAGTTGGTGTCATTTGAGGTTTGTGAAGCCTCTTCTCAGGAGATCATTGGTAATCTTTCGATTCCTAGCTTAGGAATGTGGAAGATTGCTACGGTTTATGGAAGCCGTTGCAACAAGGAGAGAAGTGATATTTGGAATCAATTGGAGAGGAGCATGGAGAATTCTAGTCCTTCCATTATTGGGGGAGACTTTAATTGTATTCTAAACAAAGATGAGAAGAGAGGTGGTAAGAGGTTCTTATTTTCTAAGGGACCGAGAGAAATGAAGAGCTTCATGGCAAATTCAGATTTCCATGACATTGGATTTGTTGGGCCAAGATACACATGGTGTAACAACAAAGAAGGTAATTCTCGGATATGGGAAAGGTTAGACAGATGTATTTTGAACTCTTTGGCTATGCAGAATCTTCCTTTGGTAGTGAACAGACATTTGGCGAGGATGGCGTCTGATCACTGTCCTATTGTGATCAAAATGGATGACATAATACAACCTAAGCCGAGAACAATCAAATTTGAAGATACATGGCGATCTTATCCGGCGGCTAAAAGCATAGTTCATCATTCCTGGAAGAAGCATGATGAAGGTAATGAGTATGAAGTCTTACAGAAGAAGCTTAATCGTACTTTAAAATCCTTGTTTTTCTGGAGTAGTAATAAATGCAAGGATTTGAATGCCTTAAAGGATAAACTGAAGAAAGAGATCCTTGAGTTGCAAAACAAAGAAGCTTTGAGTAATAATTGGTCTGATGATGACCTGTTTGAACTTAGAAATAAGGTTCATCAACTTAATATCATGATGAGAAGACTTTCAACTTGGTGGAATCAAAGGGCTAAGGCTAGGTGGCATGAGGATGGCAATACAAATTCTAAGCTTTTTCATAATTTTGCAACAGCCAGAAGAAATGGGAATCGTATTTTCCAAGTCAAAGATGAAGCGAATAAGTTGCAAGTGGATGAGTATCAAATTGAGAAAGTCTTCACCAAATTCTTTGAGAAGAAATGGGAATATAGGGAATGTGAAGTCACGGGTTGGCCATCTATTAAGGAGAATCAGAAGTTGAGTGCCGAAGACATGGAGCTGTTAAATGCTGAGTTTACTGAAAATGAGTTACAGAGTGCGGTGTTCCAGCAAGGGAACAACAAGTCGCCTGGTGCGGATGGCGTTACCTCTTCCTTCTACAAAAGTTATTGGAATATTATATAGAAAACTCTTTGGAATGCAGTTAGGAATTTTTTTAATTCCAGCCATATGAATAAGGAATGGAAGGACACGCTGATTGTCTTAATTCCTAAAATAAAGAACCTGTTGTATCCATCGAATTATAGGCCCATTAGCCTTTGTCAAACCAATTATAAAATTGTGGCTGCTATGATTGTTAATAGATTGAAGAAGGGAATGGCTAGAATGATTTCCGAAGAACAAGATGCCTTTATACATGGTAGATCTATTGCTGAACATTGTCTGCTTGCTCAGGAGATTTTCCATAAGTTTAAAATTTCAAAAAAATAATAAGGGAATGATGGCCGTGAAGCTTGATATGGAATAAGCTTACGATAGCATGGGGTGGACTACTCTTCGTCAAATTTTGAGATGGTATGGTTTTCCTAGTGCTTTCTCTAATTTACTCTTGGAATGTGTTGTGGATGTGAGATTCTCCATCATTATTAACGGGAAGAATTCTGAATGGATCAATGCTCAGAGTGGATTCCGTTAGGGATGTCCACTTTCACCTTATTTGTTCATCATGTGTTTCCAATTGATTACTAACTCGTTGGAGCAAAGAGGAAAGAGCCTTGGCATTCAAGTTTTAAGTGGAGGGCCAAAGATTACGCATTTGTTATATGCAAATGACGCTCTTATTTTCTCTCATGCATCGGTTGAGCTTGCTAAAAGTATGAAGACAATTGTGGAGAAGTTTTGTAAGTGGACTGGGCAGCGGATTAATATTGGCAAATCTCAATTGATGTTTGGTAAGGTAGTCAATTATCAGATGAGGAGGAAGATTGGTAGACTACTTGGGTTTAAGATAGTGAAGGAAATGAGATACTTAGGAGTAAAAATCTCACTTGAAAGAATGAAGATGGCTGATTATCAAGAAGTTCTTAGTAATGCCATGGAAAGACTTAATGCTTGGAACAGGAAATCTTTATCCTTGAGAGGTAAATTGATCCTTGTAGAAAGTTCTTTGCTCTCTATGGCAAATTTTCTTATTACCCAGTCTCTGGTTCCTAAGAGGCTTTTACATGAATTGGAGAAGCTTTGTAGAAGTTTTATTTGGAATAATAAAGATGGCACTAAGGGGATGCATTACATTGCTTGGAATGATATTTGTAAGCCTAGTAGTATGGGAGGTTTGGGCTTACATTCGCCTTTACAGAGAATTGGATCTTTAAGATCCAAAGTGACATGGAATTTTATTCAAAAGCCTGGTTCTTTGCTTCACCGTGTCATGGAAAGTAAATATGGGGATAATGTAATGAATGAAGCTCACAGTAATATCAGCTCAAATGCTTGGAGAATCTTACTGGATGGCGGAAAGAATTTGAAGATGGTGGTTCGATGGAAGGTGGGGAAAGGATATAAAATCAGCATCTTAAATGACACTTGGGTGCTTGATAGGTGCTTGAGTCGTTGGTCTACTTTTGTGGACAACAATTTCCTGGAAGGTATGAGTGTGCAGCATTTAATTCTTGATAATGGTATGTGGAATTATGATCTGTTACAAAGAGCATTTCATTCATACTTAATCTCTATAATCACTCAAATTCCTATTGAGTATAATGTGGAGGATCGGATGGAGCTGTTGAAGATTGGTTCGGGGAAGATAGTGTCTGCTATGGTTTTTGAACAAATGTGGCTCAACAAATGCAATATGGAGGATGTGGAATATTTCAGCTGGGTGAAGAAATTGAAGATGAGCAAGAATATTGAATTGTTTTGGTGGAGACTTGGTAAATCAGCCATACCAACCAATATGTTTCTCATGAATCGTAAAATTTCAGATAATGGTCTTTGTCCTAGAGGTTGCCAAGTTGATGAAACGTATGAACATATTATGGTAAAATGCAATTATCTGATTGAAATAATTCTGAAGTTGAGGGAATGGGGAATTTTTATTCCTAACTTTCATTCGTTGGAGTGTTGCTTGGAGAACTTAAGGAAGATGTCTGTAAAGAATCCTGGGATTGTTCGGCTGTATTGCTCTACGGTATATTATTCTTGGAGAAGTCGAAATGATACTAAACATGGTAAGAATGCTGTGCCGTGTTCTATTATTGCTGCTAATGCTTTATTTTATGCTGTCTCCAAATCCAGTCCATTTCTATCTTGCTGGGGTACTAATCTCCTTTGGGAGTCTCAAAGAACTTGGTACCCTCCACCGAAAGAATGGATCAAGATAAATGTAGATGCATCTTTGACAAGCTCTAATTTGGCTGGCATTGGAGGAATCTTTCGGGATTACAAAGGAAGATTTATTAGTGCTTTTGGAAAGAATGGAATGCATTGGGATATTGGCCATCTTGAATTACAAGCAGTCCTCACGGTTAGAGAGTTTTTGAAGAGCTAGATGTTGGAGTGTAAAGGGCTTATCATAGAAAGTGATAGTATGAATATCATCAAATTCATTCAGAATTCTTTGAAGGATAATAAGGAGAATGTGGGTAAGTGGCCACATAAAGATTTATGTTTTTTTACAAGATTTTAATAAGGTTGTCTTTCTCCATGCTTTTAGAGAATGTAATAAAGTAGCAAATTGTTGTGCTACTATGGCATTGGAGAATAGTTTTTTCTTTGATAGTTCTTCTTTTGATCTTATTCCTTCCTTGATGTTAGGCTTAATCAAGGAAGAATGTGATCCCCTTATTACTTGTACTTAGATTCCTTTTTGCCTTTAATGCTATTTGATGCATTTCTTTCAAAAAAAAAAAAAAGAATGGCTCATCCGGTTATAACCAAATCAAGATGACCGTATAAAAAAAGGAAAACACTGCCTTAAGAACTCTCATAGGAATCTTTTGTTATAAGGTAATGCCCTTTGGCCTTAAAAATGTTGGGGCAACCTACTAGCGGGCCATGACTAATATCTTTGACGACTTAATCCATAATCAAGTTGAGTGTTACATCGATGATCCATTTATTAAGAGTAAATTCAAAGAGGCTCACATATATGACTTAAGGGTTATTTTTGAACGGTTATGCCACTATGATTTAAAAATGAATCCCTTGAAGTGTGTGTTCGGTGTCACTTCAGGGAAATTCTTAGGATTCGTGGTGAGACACCAGGGAATTGAAATTGATCCCGCCAAAATTGAGGCCATCCTAGATATGCCACCTCCTAGGAGCCTTACTCAGTTAAAGTCTCTTTAAGGTAGGTTGTCGTATATAAGGAGGTTTATCTCTAACCTTTCTAGGAGATGTCAACCGTTCTCAGTCCTAGCTAAGAAGGATGCTAATTTCATATGGGATGAGAAGTGTCAGAATTCCTTCAATGACATCAAATAATACCTTTCTAACCCACCTATTTTGGCAGCCCCTGTTTTGGGGAAACCTTTGATCCTCTACACTGCGGCCCTAGACGAGTCCTTAGGTCCTCTATTAGCTCAAGGCAATGATGAAGAAAAAGAAAATTCTCTTTATTACCTTAGCTGAAGACTCTTGCCCACTAAAATTCAATACTTATCAATCAAAAAACATTATCTCGCTTTAGTTTTTACAACCCAAAAACTAACGCATTACATGCTTTCTCATTCAATCAATTTAATCTTTATAGTTAATCCTTTGCAGTATCTTATGACCCGACTTACATTGCAGGATGTCTTGCTCGATAGTCTATGATATTACTTTAATTTGAGATTACTTTCATTCCTCGGTATGCTGTGAAAGGGAATGCCATTGTCGACTTCCTAGAGGCACACCTGCTAACGACGGATTCTTTTTTGAATGATTATTTACACGACGAACAAATCATGAGTTTAAGGAAATATGAAGACAATATCTAGGAATTATATTTTAATGGTGTGACATCCTCTCAATGGGACACAACCCAACAATCCATAATCCTTAGAAATGCCAAAATTGGTCTAATTTTGATAACATCGGAGAATGGTATAATGCACTTTTCCTACCATTTACCGGAGCCTTGCACAAACAACAAAATTGAGTATGAAGCTCTGATAATCGGTTTTGAACTTAAAATTTTGATTGAGATTAAAGTGATTAAGATCTTTGGTGACTCTCAACTATTGATCAACCAGGTTATAGGAACCTATATGGTTTTGAATCCTAATATCCTAAAATTCCACCAATACACCATTCACTTTCTTGAGCAGATTTTTTTCATAAGTTTATATAGGGTTCCCCATGAAAGTAAATTTGCGGTGGATGCCTTAGCAAAGCTTGCAAAGGAATTTGTATGTCCGGAAGAATACTCTATTCCTATAGAAATTTAGGGTCATAAATCCTTCTCCCATATAGATTTGGAGCACATCATGAAGCAACATCTTCAGATACTTTTTGCCTCTTCAACAACTGATGAAGAAGGCAACTAAAGACAACCATTAATCGACTACCTTCAAGAAGGAAAACTTCCTCAAGATAAATCTCTCACTATCCAAGTCAAGAAACTTGCCCTATCATATGCACTAGTCAATAATTTGTTATACCATTGATTGTTCGATCAGATGTGACTGTGTTGTTTAGATAAATGAGAAGCCATAAAGATCATTAACGAAGTCCATTCTGGACTATGCGGTGCTCATCAATTGGGTCCAAAAATGAAGTTGAGAATCAAAAGACTTGGATACTACTGGCCAACATTGATTGACGATTACATGTATATTACAAAACATTATTATCTATGCCAAGTTCATGGTGTGGTTTTACAAAACGTTATATTTCAAGCAAACATAATTTGGATGTGTTGACTAGTATGCATTGCATTATAAACATATTTAAATAAGTTTAAATTTTAATTGCATCAGTATTTAACATTCTCACCCATCATAAGTCAAAGGGGCCACTTATGAAAATCTCTAGATGTCGGTACCTACTCTCCAAAACTTTAATAAAAATGTCGCTACCACTTTATCATAAAAATGACCAGATTCAAGTATTTAAAATCAACTAGGTGGCTAGCTGGCTCCCCAATCCAGGCCAGGGTAAGTTCATATTCTATATTATATTAGTTAGGTTTAGACTACTGT